ATACCCAAGGGCGGAAAAATTGACTTTGAAAACCTGAAAATGTAAAATTTCCTTAAGCTCGCAACCTTCCCCACCCTTCATGGGAAAAAAGGTGCAGGACTACGGCCATATTTCAAAATTACGAATCACGATGCAAACTAACCACCACTAATAAAATTTTACTCAACTCTGAAGCTATATATACATAAAAACTACACATTTCTCGTTGGATCCACCTAATATTTCCTTGCATTCACTGAAACCCTGATACTATCATCGTGTGTTCGGTCAAAACAACTGCATTAGTTCAAACAAAAACTTTTTGTAGTCATTAATATAGTCGAAATTAGCACTGAGCGCACGCTCATATTTAAATAGAACCCTCCCACCTACACCATTGACAGTTCTGATTGTCTCTTCATCTCATTTGGGTTTGCCGTTTATTCCTGACTACTGGACCGTTGGTTCAGTGTATTCGTCAAATATCTCTTATGTAATAGTCTGGTGTGTTATTTACGTCGGATATATACATTTATTAAACTTTCCGGTCCCAAAACAAGCTTCTCTCTGTTGTGGTGTTTAGTTTTGTGGCTTTCGACTAATTTTTATATATATTTGTTGTTGTTTTCGTGATACGTCGAATGAACGTTTTGCGGCGGTGTTCCTGAATCAGTTGGTGTGTCCTGTGGTGGTCAAAGTGAGTTAGATGAGGAGAGAGAATCGATCGAATCATTGAAAAATGAGTCAGCGAAGTTAGGGAACCCGCATTTTGAACACATCCATGTGAGAGATGAATTGCCGAGAACCTCATACATTTGCAAATCAGTAGCATCACACTTTACATGGAACCAGACTTCACACATATCACATTGGATCCCATTTTGGTAACTTATAACGGATTTGGTACATACACCACAAGGATGCTTATACTGAGGACCTGGATTGCTTTCAATATTGCCACCAAGCAATAGAAACATTTGAAGAAGTCGCCGAAAAGTATTCCTTGAAGACGAAGCATATAGATAGCGGAACGAACGAGGTCACTGGTGAGAACGCCTTATGGTCGCTTCAAGTCTGGCCCGAATGGTTTGTTTGGAGGCCAAAGTTATGTTTAAGCCAAATTCGATGTACTTTTCCTGAAATCCATGCGAACTTGGTAGTATTGAAAGCAAATGTATCCCAAATAGGGGCAAAATCGCCACCAAAGTCACACCCATTTTAAAGCACTCAGCTGAACATTACAACGCTTAACGTAACAATTCTTACGAGTCAACAGATCATTCGACTCTATGAATGTTCACCAAATCAATGTTTTCAAACAATATCAAATTTATGAATAAAGTTAAAAAAGTGTGTCATATTAAAGTCTCCAGCCTGTCAATTCAAAATCTCTCTTGCAGGTAAGTAAATCCCCTAAAATTCTATATATCAGATAAAAGAGAAATCGAGATTGAACGTACGACTTACTTCGTATCGATAGCTGGCAAAGGACACATCTCTTCTTGCGTAACACTCTCCGTTTGCGTATCAGCTACTCTTCCGTGATCACTCGAGAGGGCTATTTCCTTCATTTCTGCTCTCAATTTGGAAGCTTCATCGCACAGTTGTTGAATTCTAGTCTGGAGACGAGCATTATCCGCTCTCATTTCGGTTGCTATTTTGCTTCGCCTGCGATACGACATCAAACTTCCTGCGTTTCCCATATAGGCGCTGAAATTCGTTTAAACGGCGTACGCTCGCTAGAAACTCCGTATTTAATTGAATTCATTTCGTTTTCCAGGTGATTTATTTAGTTGTTGTTTTTGCTGTGTGAGATTAACTGTTTGTGTAAGAAAATGATCGTTGTTAAGGAGAAAGAATGATTTCTTTTCTAACGGTTTTCCTTAGAAAGCTGTCCTTTGAACATTTTCGGAAATTAAGTCCAATTTGTTGGGAAAACCCAAACAATTAGTCAGCTGTCACGCTGATTTTATTTTAGAAGCCGAGGGGGATATCTGGGTATCCCGCATCCTGTTAAATTTTGGCCTAAATGTCCCGTATCCAGTTAATTCCTGTGATTTATATCCCTGAAATTCCAGCTCGATACGTCGGAATCTCTATTTAGGATATTCTGTATCGCGAAAATTTTTCCAAAAGTATCCTGTATCCCTATATTTTTTTACCCGAATTCAGTCGAACCTGTATTAAGCGGAACCGTATGAAGCGGTCACCCCGTGTTGAGCGGTCGGTTGTCAAAGTCTCGAATTTGTTACCCTTAACTTGACAGTAATATAATTTTCACTTCTATTTAGTAGTCACGTGTAGTGCACTGAACAGTCGCTTGAAGCGGGTACACACAAATGAAACAAAGAATAATCTTTCAAGTAAAATTTAATCCATGTATCTCTCCCGAAATCAATGTCAGTTGTATTCTTTAAGGAAGGGGGGGTCCATGTTTCATTTACATTTAGTGGTCAATTATGGCATAAAATGATGGCGTTTTTTATTTATTCCTATTCGCTGGAACATGTATTGAGCGGTCGCCTTGTATAAAGCTGTCACCAAGTCACTCCCCTTGGGTCACTGCTTAATAGGGCCTCATTTTGCTTTCGTGCCATTCGATTCACCCAAATTTCCTCAGTTGTCACACTCCTACGATCGTCTTTGAACTTAAAGGTATTGATTGGTTGCACTTTCTTATGCATATCCTCCGAAAGAGGAAATAAGTCTTTCTCCAACATAAACTGATATATGCAATTCAAATTTTTAAGGATTTTAACCTGCACGAAGAGTTTTTACGTTGCCACAAAAAATAAAAAATAGCAGAGAACACCATGTCTGAGAAATAATGGACAGAATAAGCTAGCTTGTTGGCTACAATATTGTTAACTCATAAAATTTCGGAGTAACATCTACAAAATCGTTGCATGACACAACAAGCAGGAGACTTTTTGATCATTAGAGACCCATTGGCTAGTGGACGTTATCCTGATTCATATAATACGATAAATCTTAATTCTCTCGGCTAACTTTCAATGAATTACTCAATAGATCTTCAGAAAGAATAAAGGTGATTCCTCAGGGTAGTTCTCGAAACAAAGATAAGTAAGGAACATTCACTCAAGAAAAGTTTCCTCTTAAATCGTTCGACAACGTTTACTGCCGAGGAAATAAGAAACGTCTAGAGATGGAAGTTAATGAGAGAAAGAAAAAGTTTAAAAGAAAAATAGACAAACAAATGGGGAAAGAGGACGAGGAGCTGTTTTTAAGAACAAGGGTGGAGAGTTCTGAAATCCCGGCAAGAAAAATAGCCTTGGGGTAATGGCTTGAAATAAGAACACGCCAAAAAGGATAGACCGCGAATCACATTTGTGAAACATGGGCGTATTCAGCCAGAAATTACGATAGGGAAGGCAAAAATAGTCTACATATCTATTCAAGAGAACCTTTTATTGAATAATTGGTATTCTCTTGATCTATCACAATTGGACTTTTAAATCATCCTGAGTCCATAATGACAAGTCTTTACACAATTCAAATTCAAATTCAACAAAATCGGGAGGTATGACTCATGGTGTATCTTGTTCAAGATGCTGATTACACAAATTTGATGCCTTGTTAAGATTTTTTAAAAATCCGAAGACCATATCCGGCATTAACAGGGAGAACCTCGAGGCCTTTCAGGGCAAGCATCTCAAGGAATTGATTCAATGTGTTCTGAGAAGTAGTGCCTATGGTAATGAGAATCTGGCATACCGATGAAATGATGTCTTCTAGGTACCTTGAAGGAGCTCGTTTTAAATTGTGAAATGATCACCCATGCACCTTACGTAAATATGAAATTCTTTTAGTCCTGACATCCTACTGCCTCGCTCTTACATCGCTCACGGTCGACTGGTTAATAATCATGTACAAGGTATCAAACTGTATTTCTTGATATCTAGCAGATCAATGGGTGCATATTTCACTGGCTTTACATGCGTGAAATAAAATAGGCACTGGATGAGAATCTTGCGTCTACAAGAAAATTTGACTTACAATGTGATTTATTTTTTTTGCCGTAGAAATAATCTACCCATACATTGTTTCCGACTCAATTAGCCCTTTAATGCCCAAGCTCTGATTAATAATTCTCCTCTCTAGGAGGGTCCCAATGGGGTTAACCGTTAGCCGTAAAACGGCCAAAATATTTAGCCGTTAGACGTAAAAATTGACAAATTTTAACCGTTAGTCGTAAAAAAAGTTAACCGTAAAAAATATCTCTGGTGGAAACAATGGAAAGGTGTTAACCGTTAGCCGGAAATTGGCCAAAATTTTAACCGATAGCCGTAAAAGCCATCACCCCATTGAGACCCTCCTCTAGCTGCTATACACTTCCATGTAGTTAGCTACAAGATTATGGTGTCAGATCAAGATAAAAACTTCCACCTGATATTCAAGTCTGAGTATCCTCATTACCCGTTTGCGGATAATGTATGGATATAATAGGGAGAATTTACACATTAATCGCCCCTGGGAGTTAAAGGTTAAAAAACTTAACCAGGCTGGTAAAATACATGTTCGTCAATCTCCGTCAAAATTCGCGTCGAATCTATCGTTAAAGTTTAAGGGTAGGATTGCTCAGAAGCGTTCTTGATACAGCAAATTTGAAGAGCTGATACCGTATTTCCTCAAATAAGGGGCCAAGTGTTTATTTAAATGACGGCTGAAGGGAGGGGTGCTTATTGGAAGGAGGGCACTTAATCGTGGGGGTGGGGGGGGGGGCTCATTATTCGCCTGTAGCAAGAGTTTATACTATCTTACCTGTTCTGATTATGCTGTAGTTGAGGCTAAAAAGGGTCTTAAATAAAGTGGCAAGAGTAAAAGGTTTTCCTTGTATCCCTTCTATTTAAGAAAGCGAAGAGGGAGGGGAGGGGAGGGGAGGGGAGGGGGGTCTTATTCGAGGGGAGCTCTTATTTGGCATTATGGCCTAGAGGGTGGGCGTTTATTTGGGGCAGGTCGCCAATCAGAGCGTGGGCACTTATTCGAGGAAATACGGTGACTCAAAGTACTTTGCTCTGTTCCATCGACTGTTTCTTCCTTTGGCAAACGAGGAGGCCCATGTGGTCTTCGCATGTACCAGTGGCTTTTAATTCTTCCAGCTCGTTCTTTAAGTCGCTCTTTTCTTTCATGAGCTTATCCAGTTCTATCTGAAGGACTTTCTCAGTGAAACCCTCAGGTTCACCAATAGCTTCTTTCCCACTTGATTCTTCTCGCTCATCCGCTGGAAAGATGAAAAATAGTGTGGCTCATAAGGATCTCGAATGGTGTCATTTATTATGTACAAATCAAGATTTTACCATCTCGACTCATAACTCAAGGTCTCATCTACAATGCAAGGTAATTTGAGGTTGAATGCAAGATCTCTACTTACATATCTCGTTTCCAAATTCAAGCCGTCGCAAAAACAAACGCAATCTAAGAGATAATCGCTAAAACGAGTGCGGCACTTTCCTATCATTAATAATGCGAGGGAATTTAATAAGAAATACATTTTGCAGCGAAAAATTGTCGGTTTTCTCTGGATCTTGCACTTTCCAAATGGGGTCAGCGTCTTTGTGAGTCTCGGATTTACCATCCAGCACCCTTCATAGCATTTCACTGCTCACCGTAGCCGAGAGAACAGGCGTAATCTTTTTTTTGCGTTTTTCTGGCAAACGGAGGCAAGAGCGGGGCGAGCGCGAAGAGAGAGCAGGAGCAGCAAAAGGGATTATTTATTTGCGCTCACCCCTCGCGCGTGACTCGCGCTTCAAGCTCACCTCGCATTTGCCTCCGTTCGCAGACTGAACAACGCCAAAAAATAACGCTTGTTCTGCAGGCAATGCTTAATGTCATACAACTACATTATTACATAAATTGCTAACAGTCGTCAAAAAAAAAAAAAGAAAAGAAAAAAAATTTATCGTTCTTGACGATGGAAATCCACTTCGTCTTACACGTTGTTTACGATTATCAGCTGTTGTCACGTATACTATAGATTCTAAAACTCTTTAGTACTTCGGTTAATTTTCACAAATTACTTGATCGCGATACTCGAAAATTAATTTCCTTGCAATATTGACAGTACATGCGCTTTTTTTAAACACGTTTTTATACGTCCACTGAGTTTTCGTGTCAGGTGACGGCGCTTTTGACTATAATATGCGGTACCTACGGGTAAATTCATATCTGACCTCAATACATGATTCTGATGGAGATTACATGGCGGTCGCGGATACGAACTTTTATGTTCGCTTGTTGATAACAGATGTTTTTCCCACTTGAAAAAATAAATTTCGTATAGATAATAGACGTGTAATACCTTATTTATATCATATATATCAGTGAAGTATGTACGAATCAAAGACAACTTCAAAACACCATACAGTGCGGAATAGAGGATCACCTGCTCGTAATTTTTTTTCCTGTCGAAAACAAACAAACAAACGACAAGCTGACGGCAACTTTAATACTATTGGTCAAATAAAATACTTTCTTTCTTGAAAATGCAGACCGCCATGTTTACTTGGTTACCAAAGACAACATCAATGATGGTCCGACCGAATCAGTAACTTTGATCATTGTCGGTGAATGGCCCGACCGAATCATTCCGGCTGCATTAGTCTCTTAAGCCAATTTTTTAAAAGCAAGAACACATTTTCTCTGAGACTTTTAGAGGCTGTTAATTTAAATGGATGTTCAAACCCACTGTTGATGTTCAGAGGGACGTCGATAACACTGAGCGAGGCTTTTAGTTTCACACAGTAACTGTCGTGGTGCGTCAGTGGTAAAGAAGGAATAAAGCATGATTATCCGTTAAAACTTAAAGCTAGACTCTCTAGAATCTCTTCAGTCATTTTTTTGGAAGCAAGAGCACGCTTTCTCAGACTTGAAGAAGCTGTCCACGCTTGCTGTTGCTGTTCAAAGGACTGTCGATATCGTTAAGCGAGGTTTATAATTTGATATAGCAACTGTTAATTAGATGATTATTCTTCTGAGAGCTAGGCTGCCCTTCATATTTTTGATGCAGGCGGGACTTAAAACAAAATATTCGAAAAATAAATCATCAAAAAGTATTTGACAAGTCTCTTGGCGAGGACGAACCATAGACATTCGCTCTGACGAAGGGCTAACGCTCGAAACGTCAGCTTTGAAACTATTTACGTTATCAACTAGTTAAAATACCAGATTACCCTGTCATATAAGCATGTCAGGCCAGCTAAATATTCAGAATAATCAACAAGAGATTAATAATGATAGATAAAACGCAATAAAGATCGAGTTTAAAAACCTTCAAGCATCAAAATTCGTTTTTATTAGTACAATTACTTCATATCAGGAAACACTGGTTTGGTTTCAACCCTCATTGGAATTCTTCGGAGTGAACATCTCTTAAATGTAATTTTGGATGGAAGTTTCTGGTTGCTATCTCCCCCAATAGACTCTAAATCGGAAAAAGTCACCTCTTCGTAAGAAAATAAATGAACTTTAACTCAGTAAAAAATGAAATCTGCTCTTTATTCGCCTTATGACCGCAAGTTTGAAAAATATAGCAAAAATAAATTGAAGATTTTCGACTGCTTCTAAGCCTACAGGAATTAGTTAAATAAAAACGACTCACACATAACTCTGGTGAGATCGCAACTGTGTCAGTTGCAACACTCAGTGCTTCCTTAGAATTCGTCTCTTAAATCAGTTAACAGCGGTACAAAATCTTTTCACATACCATTTGTCGGCGAATGGTGGATAAAGCGTTCACATTTTATTCTGAGATCTTCTTCCTCTTTTTCTCTTTCCTTGAGCATTGCGCTGATTTCGTCGTTCAGTCGCTTTCCTTCCACGCACAGCCTGTCGACTCTCGCCTGTAAACGAACATTTTCCTGTCTCAGCTGAGTTACAAGGGATTTTCCGCGGGCGTCCGAGCTTTTACCAACACTGACCGCCGATCCCATTCTGATAAATTCTGCTGCGGAGTCTTTTCCACTTTTACAAGCGCAGTGAAGCGGTGAAAACAAGAAAAAAAATAGCTTGTTTTGATTTTTTCTACTCGCAATTAAAGTGAGATGTTTTGCTTAACAGTTCCTGGCTAGTTCCTGGTTACTTTGTCTTTTAAAACAAAGCTCTTCCGACGGTATAACGCAACCGCTGTTTCCAGTAATTTCTGAGTGCAGTACAAGCTGTCATGTTCCCTCCAGTGTACCGCCCGGGAATAAAATATTGCAGGGAATTTTCATATTCTGCTCGACCCAGAGATGTCACATTTTTTTCCTGTTTTTGTTTATCGTTACCTTATACTCGAATATATTTTTTTTCAAGGTAACAAAGAAACGCCATCTATGAAGAAAAAAAATTGAAGCAGAGCTAAATCACATCGCACATTGTGGAACTTGAAACAAAACAAATTTGTGAAAAAATATGCAAAAGAGAAGGGAATTTGAAGGTGCTGTGAACGCAACACTGTATCATTGACGCACTTGTCAATAACAAATTTCGCAAAACTATCACAGGTCTCAATTACTCAGCTTTTTGATGTTTTTTAGAAAGACAACAAAGTTGCCAAACTTATTCTTTTTTGGAAAAAATTGGCTTTTTCTAGTCAACACTTTAAAAGAGAAAAATGGAGATATACTTAATTGGCAAGGAAAGAAATATTCTTCATTTTGTAACTAACAAATATCTAATTTTGTGAATGCGTATTTCACCAAGAAGAGACAGGAATTGTAGAAACATCTGCATGGCTTTAGGATCATCAGATGTACGAACAAACGAAACGAAATTATTTCAGTCAATACTTGTCTGTATTGCTACATTATTTTTAGGTGTTACTATTTTTATGAAAATCATTTGAAACAGCCGGGAAGAATTACAGTGTATCAGTGAATTATTGATTTCTTGTAGGTGAAAGTAAATGAGCTGTATTTCCTTAAGCTATCAACGCAGATGAGTTTTCAATAAATTGAATTTATCAAAATTTCGCAAAAATAATCTACTTTCAGATTTTAGCTCACCAGATGAGTGCGTTCATTTTACCGATGTTGTTTTCAAAATGGCGTTGCAAGTTAAATGCATTTCGCCAATTTTTGCTCAATTTTCGAACTCTTAAGCTACTCCAAGAACCCTTAAACCCTAACATCAGTATCCATATTCTCCATACTGTTCTCCATACATTTTCAAAGGTGCTGACAAGGAGAATTTGTTTAATAATCAAGAGCATCCTCCAACATATTACTGGGTTGTTTTCAAGATAGCGGTTTGAGTCGAATTTTTCGCCTTAGTTAATCACCGTTCAGTTTCATAATCTGCTGTAAGTAAAAATGAACTCAGTTTCATTAATTCTTGTTGACAGGGGAGATAAAATTATATGGTTTCTCGTGCATACTTCCTCTTATAAAAAATAAACAAACAAAAAAAACAAAGTAAAATAGCGTCTTGTCCATCTGTTATTTCTGAGAAATTTCCTGTCGTATAGTTAAAAAAGATATTCTGGCAGGATATTTTTATTAGGGAAGAGCAAAAAACGAGTACATATTTACGAGGAAAATCGGCTTGGATATTTTCATTGATTTTTCGAGGAAATTTTACCGAAAACTTCGATCAAACAGAAACTCAAATATCGGACATTCTGATTAAAAAATATTAGCCTTCCCTGATAACATGTGCGAAGCTAGGAAATTTACTTTACGCGGTGGGCATATTCTACTTTGTCTGTACGGTGGAAAAGCTGTAAGGGGAAATGTGTAGTAACCATGGAAGGTCCCAAGATGCGGCTAACATTTACCAATAAAAGTCAGAAATGAGACTTCGTTTTTCACAATTCGTTTATTTTTCGCAGTAAATGAAATTCTCATTACACATTATTTTGCTGACATGACGTCTTCCATGAAAGCGGGATAAGTTGCACAGCAAGGGAACTATGGATAAGTTACAGCAGAACAGATTTCTTTCACAATTTTGGTCTCTTGGCAGATACGTAGTGCCATCTGTCAACTGTTAGCAGGAAAAAAGAACGAAAGAAACCAAGTTAAATTCAATCGCTTGAGTACGTCATAGAGCCCTTTGCGATCGAGTGTCGCAAAACCGAAGTGACAAGCCAGGAACAAAGATTGACATCATCACTAGCCAATAAGGACTCGAGGTGAAAACAAGCGGAAGCGCTTGAAGCGCGGGAAAACGAAGGCGACCAATTAGTGATTCTCTTTTTTTTCATTTTTACATCTGATTGCTTGAGAGGTTGGCGCGAGTTTTCTGGACCAACCACAAAGAAATAAAGTAAAAACCAAAATAATCGCAGATTTCTTTGGATCATTGATTGCCATCTTAACTAATATAGTGTTATCATACATTAACATACTGTGCTTGTGACACTTACGGCCGGCACTTAAGGAAAATTGATACTCTTTTACATGAGTATTCGAGTCGATAGGACTGCTATTACGTTGTACGGTATGGATTTTAGTAAAGCTTGCGCATTGCTGGCGTTTGGTGTCGCTTGTTATCATACTGAGTGTGAAAGCGTCAACTTCACTCACGTCTGCCACAAAGAGTTTGAATTTTCTCAAGGAGCTAGGATTTTTCGTTAAACTGAGCCCTTACCAAAAGAATCTAGCACTTGCATAAAATATGGGGGTTTCCTTTCAAAATGTTATCAGGGATAATTCCAGTTTTGATTTTGAACTGAGTCAAACCAAATAGTGCTGTGTTCTTGGGTTGGACACTTTTAAATTCTCGCATTGCATCTCCATCCAGGAACTGTCATGGAAGCCTAAAGAAATGCTGTGGAAGGGAGGGGGGAAGGGGTCCTGCGACGGACTGGAATTCAATCCAGGGGGAAGAAGTAGAATTATTCCTAGTCGCTTCATGGTAAAGAAATCGGGATAAGCTTCGGCTGGATGAGTTCCTTGGTCAGATTAAAAATATTTTGTTCTACCTACCTTGTTGGGCTGGGTCAATGGGTTTTGGATCAGCAACTTTAGCCGCCTAAATGAAATTAAAAAAACAATCGATATTCTGAATTTGTTTTTGTTTATTTTACAAATTACTTCAATTAGAGAGCGTAGTGAAATAAGACCACTGCGATGCTGTTATTCTCTCAAATTACTTCTACTCACGTGATTAAGGATACCAGTTGCTTCCTCTGCAGACATCTTGTATGGCGATCCATCAACTGTGACATTTTTGCTAACGGAGAAAGGAAAAAATTATCTTGGAAAACCTTATCTCTTTAAATTGTTCAGAGAATTAAAAATAAAAGATTACTACAAGATTACATCCAATTTCTTGGTTAGATTGTTGATCTGCCAAGAGTCTACCCCCCTAAAATGACGAGCGAAATCTAAATCTGCCCCTTCCCCCCCCCCTGTAAATTTCGTACACCTATTTTTCTTACAAAAGACCTAAGATTTTCTTACCAAGCGAGGCCTATGTCATTTTCCACCTCTTTGAGAACCAGCTTTCTCCAACATTCGTGTGTTTCACCAATGATCTTCATAGCAAATTCCTAAATAATTCAAGACCATATTAGTGACTCACACATCAGTTCTTAATACTGTTACAAAACCCTATAGTTTGGGAAACAAACTTTGGTTGATCATCAGTTCAACACTTTACAAATAATCCACCCCAACATCCGTATAACATTTTCTGTAACGGTTAATTAGTATATCAGTATTTTTTATCTAGAACCCCTTTTCTCCTTGATAGATTACTCGTTAACATTTCCTTACCACATCAAAACATTATACAGAAAAATGGTAACGAGAACATACAAACCAAACAGCTCCAGAATGTTATCTTGAAGAGAAAAAATTCCCCATACTAGTTCATAAAGTATTGAGTTGCAAACAGAAGGGAGAACTTTGCATCAGATAAACTGTACCTTGTTCTTTGCTTCCTCGTTGAAAGCAAACTGATTTTCACCGCTACCAGCTGGAATTTTGTAGATCTTGAACCAGTCAACTGTGGCCTATAAAACGACACAACTAATCATTAACATTGCTATTGTTATTTCTAAAGCCAGACTTCTTCATAACACATCATTGTGATCATTATCAAAATCTTAGCCTCCATGTTCATTGCAAAATTTATAATGCGCTCCACACGATACCTTGAGAAGTCCTGGCATGTGTTTTTCAATGTCGTCGACATCTGTAAAAAAAGCCATATTGTCAGTGATACTTATAAAACTGTGTACACCAGAAAAATTTTAGGGAATGAGTCAATCAGCTGTGAGAAAAAAAAAACTGCAAACAGAAACAATAATAGACCTCTTCAGCTTGTATTTCCAGTTTAAACCCATTTCAGGTCATGTCATAATACTCTAGTGAATTGTCATCTATGCATAATTTACAAAAGGTAAAGCTGGAAATTCCCTTAACACCTACAATTGGCAAACAAAACATGCAAGCTAAATAGATCTGTTAGTTTGTTGTTTTGTTGTTTCCATGCATGTCCTGAAATTTATCATGATTCAGTTGGTCAAGACACAATTTATCTGTCCCATTTACATCAAAGTGTTCATGGTTCCTGAGTTGAACAGTAATAATAATTACCAGAAATCTTAAAATATAAGTAACAACAAATAGAGATGTGTACAACATGTATCTATACAGCTGTGTGTTAACGAAAAAAATGGCCATTGCTGTCCCATGTACTTGGAGCAAAAATATTAATTCCTTGATTTTGAGTTTGACCATAAGTTTGGTAGATTGGTTCAGAGAAGGTGCTTACAGCATCCTATGTCATGAGGAGTTTGTTATCTCTATGCTATCTCAATAAATCTCCTAGGTTTTACACAGAATTGGGAAGGCAGAAGCCCTGAATGTATTTCATGAACTAGTCACACTAAAACTTTCACAAAAAGCTATCTTACCATTCATCTCTTTGGCAAGAGGATCATTTACATCAATGCAGAGAATTTTCCAGTCAGTTTCACCTTCATCAATCAATGCAACAG